ACACACACACACACACACACACACACACACACAGTCAGTCTCCCAGCCCTCAGCATCCATCATCCTTGCAATGACAGCTGTTATTGGCTCGTGGAATTGGCAATGATTGCCTTTTGCAAAATGCGTCACTGTACCGTAAATCATTAATTCAAAGTCAAACATCCTCCTAAGTCATTCGCATGTCATCTAAGTCCTGAGTTCTAAGGAGAAAGGAAAGAAAAAAGTACTTTGAGGGACGTTCGGTTATTAGGAGAAAATTAGGAGATGGAATTTAATGCTCGCTGATTATGATAACGCCTCTCATCGGTTGGCTTCTGACTGAAAGAAAACATAAGAAATGAATGCAGGAGTGAAAAGACTTTCTCAAAGCACTCATCTGTCCTGAATGATGCTATCACAATGTCATTGAACTGCTGCTGTGACTATGAATAGCTGCTAGAGCTGGGCAATATAATACAAATTCACAATATATTTGCAGTGGTTTTGCTGGTAATATAAAATTTAACAACACTGTGAATTTTAAAATGTTTTCAATATGGCCATTAATTTTCCTAAAGACCGTGTCATAACATGACCCTTCCTTTGTCTTGTGATTATGACAGTATTAAGACATGTTAATGTCTGATTTAAACTTAAGTGACAAAAACAGTGTTAGATTTGGTCATAGATTAATTTCCTTGAATCAGTTAAAATTTTCCAAAGACTCAGTTAAAATGAATTTACTTAAAGGGGTCATATGATGCGATTTCAAGTTTTCCTTTCTCTTTGGAGTAAGCATGTCAACATATTCTGTTACACCAAATACACAAAATAATGATCTTTAAAAAAGCATCATATGACCCCTTTAAAAATGTTCACAGAAATCCCTGTGTGGCATTTTTCAGTGAATACTGCTGAAAACAGAAACACACCTTTTCATAATTTAATTTTTTTTTATTACAGTTGTTCCAATTGCTAACATCCCTTTGTCCAATCTGTAGTCACATTTTCAAAACTCTACACACAATTAGCACAACATCGGTCTGTTGTGACCATACCATTAACACAATTCATGTTGTTTTCACACAATATTCAGTCAATTAACACATTTCTAAAATGCTTACATTTTTTTTCACACAAACTTACCCCATACCAAAATCATAGATCTTTCTTATCTTTTTTACAAATGCTTAAACACAGCAAGACAGAAATGAAGGCCTAATGTTCCAAACTTTAAATATAGTGTAAAGCCTCTACTTCTGCAACAACAGCAGCTCAAAAGTATTGAAAAATCTCTCTATATAAAATATTGTAACAACTGATAAGCATTTCAAGTAACAGATCACTGAAATATTTAGAAATAGCTGATTCCAGTCTCAGTTGGAGGAATAGTCAGGTGTTGATGCTCTTTCCATTACATCAACATAGAGTCAAAATACCTCTTTGAATTAGTTCTGTGGATGCAGAACAGCACAAAGAATCAAAGAGAGAAATAATAATAATAATGCCTGGGAAAGGGAGAGGAATAATTGTAGGAGGGAGAGGAGTAGTTGGATCAGAAAAAGGGAGAAGAAGAGGTAGGGGAGAGGAGTAAGAGGAGTAAGCTGGACTGTGCATTTTTATGTTTGTTTTCCCCCTTACACATGTGGAACCTATGAAAGCTTATTTCTGCCACGGAATATAAAGGGTAAAGGGTAATTGTGAGTTTTTTTTATCTCACACTTTTTTTTCTCACAATTGTGAATTTATATCACTATTCTGATAAAGTCTGAATTGCAAGATTTAAACTCGCAATTCCAAGAATAGAAGTCCAAATTGTTAGATAAAAAGGTCACAATTACCATCTTTACTTTTTTATTCTGTGATGGAAACAAGCTTGCATATTAACCAAAAGCCATGTATGTTATTTTGTTATGCCATGTATGCCATGTTATTTTAGTTGATCACTGGCATCAGCTACCATGGGGGCACCATTGAAAGCAATTTCAATCAAGGTTCCAACTGAATTTCTGCATAGGGGACCCTATTTTTTTCTATTATACATTCTATAAAGTAATGACTCATTCAGTTGTAGACAGTATGTTCCCAAGAATGAACAAATTCAACAAATAAAACATGTCAAATGGGTTTCAGTTGAAGGTAACTAAATATTGTACATTCTATAAAGTAATGACTCATTCAGTTTTAGACAGTATGTTGCCAAGAATGAACAAATTCAACACTTAAAAATGTAAAATGAGTTTCAGTTGAAGGTAACTAAATTACAAAAAACAATGGATTTTTATATTGTCTATATGCAGGTAGAACTGACACATGACAGGTAATGCAGTTTTTGTAAAGTCATCAACTGTTAGTATTTTGACAGTCACTGTGCTATGATTGACTATATTTTCCTGTTTGATAGAAAAGTAGTGCTAATGTTTTGACCGAATGACTCGATTTTGAATCGGGTTTGCTGTTTTTATAGAGTTAGTTATCTAGAAATTTAGTTATGTTTTTATGTAGAAAAATGTATTCAGCATTTTGAAATGTAGAGTTTGTATTAATTTGACAAAATGTGGTTTTGGCCAGAAAATTAACGTTTTGGCTAATTGTGTGATGTAGGTGTGTTGCTGTGTTAAGAGTTTAGAAAAAGTACTTTAAGTATAGGTAAACACTTGTTAGGAATTGGACAAAACTGTAAGATGGTTGACTCACACACACACACACACACACACACACACACACATATGTGTGTGTGTGTGTGTGTGTGTGTGTGTGTGTGTGTGTGTGTGTGGGTGTGTGGGGGAGCAACAGGGAAAAATCTGTAGATGTAAAAATCTCCATACATTTTCACGTTTATGGTCTGTTTTTGTTTTGTTTTCCCTCTGTTCCTGCCTCCTGTTTCTGTATGCCCTTATTTGGTCATGTTCCTGTCCTCATTATAGTTCATTATGTTCATTTGGTTTTCCCGTGTGTTTGATTGTTGATTGATCCCAGGTGTATCTTGTCAATTACCCCATGTACTTAAGTTCCTGTCTGTGTTATCTGAGTTTGTCCGGTATTAAATGTCGATGTTGTGTTTCCTGTGTGTCCCTGCCTGCCTTGTTTTACCCCGTCTTGAATGATTAAAGACATTTACTTTGAGTTTATCCCACATCTCCTTGTTCTTCGTTTCGCCACAGAAGGCAACCGTGACAATACAAGTTCTTTGTGCATTTTTCTATTTTTCTACTTGTTACTTTGCACATTTTGTTAGAAAATGTTTATTTACTATTTATTCAGGTTTTTTAAGGTATCTAATATTTTGATACATAATTTCCATGATCTAAATATTCTTAAAAATTAAAAATTTGTTGTCATATGGAAGTGTGTAGGCCTTCTTGCATTATTATGCTGTTACATTATGATTATATATTCAGTGGCATAAAATGGTCTTTAAAATTACAATAATATCGCTTATCGCAATTATTTCTGGGGCAATATATAGCACAACAAAAAGTTGTTATCATGACAGGCCTACAGATAGATAGACAGATAGATAGATAGATAGGAGATGAGGAGAATACTTCAAACAAAGAGACTTTAATGAACATCCAAGAAACCAGGAAAACACACGTAGCGGGAAAGACGACATTCAAATGACAAACTCAGAAAGCACAGACAGGACCTTAAATATATGGGGTGATTGACAACACACACCTGGAACTCAATAAACAATTAACAAGGGAAAACTGGGTCAAGGAGCACGTGGAGAGGGAAAAACACACAGAATGAGTCCAGGGGAGTGACATAT